CCTGCCCTCCACCAGATCGTCATCTGAGGACTTGGGGAGCTGGGGGTGGTCTGCAAGCAGGGTGTCTGTTGTGTGATACTGTCAGCTACCTCTCTGTGGGAGGGGGGTGTCTCACATTGTCCCACTGAGGACGGAAGGGGCACCTGCTAGTGGCTTTCCTTAAGTGTCCTTCCTCCAGCCTGAGCCTGACCCCACTTCTCTCCTTTCCCTACCCTGAACTCCACAGTGTGGACCCTTCTATGGGATTAGACAACCCTGCCCTCCCCCCAGCAGACTGTTCTGTCGCCTCCTCTGCCCCCCTAAGTCTACTGGCATCCTATTTGGCCACCCCTCCCCCTCTGGTGGGGGGTACCTCTGCCTTCTTCAGACCTGCCTCGCACCTGGAGAGCAGACCATGCCCGGGTGTGGCCCAGGTTCTCCCCCATACCCACCTCGAGGTAGCTGCTGCTAAGTGCTCACTTTTCCTAAAGCAGCCCCTAGATGCTGCTCTGGGGCGTCCCACAACTGACAGCAGTCCCAACGCTGATCTTTCTCCAGGGAGAGACACCACCCTGGACCTCGCCACTTGCTCCAGGTCACACAACCCACTAACGGGACAGGGGTCGGGGAGGCAGATCCTGCTGCTCCAGCACCCTCACCTCTGTTTCTCACTCACACTGAACTCTCCCTCCCACTTAGACCCGCGGCCAGTTCAAGCAGCAGGAGTGTGAAAACCAACCTCTTATGGCCAAGGGAGGCCCCTCCTGGCCTGCCAGGACCACCACCCACAAATAGTCTATTCCCAGCAGGAAGCCCCTCCGCCTCAGTTAAAGGGATGAAAAACACCAGCACTCCTTAAGGAAGGAGGATGCGCCCCCCACCAGCCCTCAGTCACCCCCCACCTAGGAACACTTGCATATCTCACCCCCACCCCCACCCTCCCTTCTCACCTGCCCCATGTGCTAGGCAGGAATGAGTAGAGAAGCCCTTCTCTCTGCCTGGTGCCCCAAGCAGCCCATGCTGGGGCAGGACAGCGTGGGATGGAGGGGCCACTGGATCATTGGCCAGCCCCAGGCTCCTGTCACCCTCTTACCTGCGGGAAGGCTTGGAGTGGCCCCAGGAACATGAGCCCCAGCGCCGCAAGGAGGGTTTGCATCCTGGCGAGGGCGGAGAGCTGGGCCGGCAGCCCGCGCCGCCCACCCAGGCAGCTCTGGAAGCGCGCTGTGCCCACGTGCGGTGCCAACCACCCAGGAAGGCGGGCGGCGCACCTCGGGCACCCACAGACCTCCTGCGGCCGCCTCGCGGACACCCAGCCTCACACTGTGGAGTCACTGCAGGAGGCCCGTGCAGATCTGAGGGTTCAGCCTTAACTCCTCTCGAGTCACTGCAGGAGGCCCGTGCAGATCTGAGCGTTCAGCCTTGACTCCTCTCCACCCCACCAGCCCCCGGCAAAAAAGGACCCGCGCTGTTTCCAGGAACACCTGCTAGTAGCAAAAAGAGAGGCGCAAACCAAATGTGTAGGGGGCAGAAATGACTGGGCTCCCCTTTTGCTGTTTGAATGGCCCGCCCCGGATTTGAAGGGGTCGTCCCTAGCCTCAGGGAGTTGGCTCCTGGGCCCGCCCTTCTGCGCAGCTGCCCCAGGGGCGGGGAAGGCAGCGCCCTCCACCCTGGAGGTGGAAGCACAGAGATTAGGGGACTCCGGAGAGGGTGGCAGACATCCCACCCCACCCCACCCCAAGGTGGGGCAAGACTTGAACAGGTTCTTGTTCCCAACACTGTAGTCAACCCAGACTTCTCTTCTCCCCTGGGGGTTCTTTGGAAGGGACCCTTGGGGTTAGGAGACTGCAGGGAAAACCACCCAAACCCTTCACCCCCGTCATAAATATTTGCTATAAAATGAGTCAGTAGGTGGATGATAGACGGTGGGTGGGTAGATGGGTGAATGGGGAGGGGGTGTGAATGAATGGGTGAGTAGGTAGATGCATGAATGGGTGGGTGGGTAGGAGGAGGGAGGGAGGAAGAAGAGGTGGGTGGGTCGATGAGCACGTAGCTGAATGGCTGGAGAGTGGTGGGTGGGTGGGTGGATGGGGAGATGCGTGTGTAGATAGAGGGGTGGATGGGTTAGTAGAGAGATGGATGAATGAGTGGGTGAGCAGGGGGTGGGTGTGTGGTTGGAGAACTGATAGAAAAATAGCATACTGGGTGTTCACCACAGGTGTTTCTCTGCCCTCTGAGAGTTTTCTGCCTGGACGAGTCTATCACCCTGGACCAAAAGAAAGAAATATACCAGCGTCATTCAAATTAGGTTCTCGTTCACAGCAGGTGATTCCGCACCCTGCGGGTTCTCTGCTCCAGTCATTCTACATTCAACACACGCTTTGAGCATCCACCGAGTAAATCTCAGGTCGACGGTTTGTTTACGTGCGGGTGTGTGGGTCTGGGCGTGTGTTTTCAGACAAGGTAACCAGGGCTTAGCAACAGGCAGCCAGTCTTAGGTGCCGGGATTAAAGATGGCCAGTATTTTCCCTGAGTCCAAAATGTCCCAAGGACCTTCCGAAATCTGCACCTCACTCTGACCTGCAAGGTGACAGGCACCTCTGACACTTCTGGAAATATCTCCCTCTCCTTAGCCCAAGAGCAGAAGTCCCCCCAAGGCCCAACCTAGAGTCTCTATCACTGACCACCCCCCACCCAGCCCTCTTTGAGCACCTGGATCTCACATGGACAAAGCTCCCATGTGTGCATCCTCACTGGACACCCACTTTGGGGCTCTCCCCTGCATGTGCCAGTCCCAGTCGTAGAGAGTCTGAGCTGAGATGATGTTAAACAACTAAGTGATTATAGAAATGACAGCCCTGCCCCATGTTGTCCACAGACCAGGAGGATGCTAGAGCCATCCAGGATGCCTGCTTCACCTTCCAGAACTTTCTACTATAGAAGAACTATCGCTGAGGGCCTCCCCTGGTGGCGCAGGCTATTGAGCCCAGCGCTGTGAAGCTGTCCGCAGCCTCTGCAGCGCCAGTTTGATCCCAGCCGGCCGGTGAGGGTCCCACATGGCTCTGCAGACCTTTCCTGTCGTGCCCGCTGCTCCCCTCAGCAGTGTATTTCATCAGTCTACCTGTTCTGTTCCCTGCTCTGTCTCTGGTGAATCCTCTCACCCTCCTATGAATCTGGCCTGTACCCCAGCTCTTGTATAAATAAATGAATATTAAAAAAAAAAAAAAAAAAAAGAACTGGGCCTCCCCCTGGTGGCGCAGCGGTTGAGCGCTGGGCTGCGAAGCTGCCCGCAGCCTCTGCAGCGCTGGTTCAATCCCCGGCCGCCGGGGAGGGTCCCACATGGCGCGCAGACCTCTCCTGCCACCCGCTGCTCCCCTAGCAGTGTATTTTGTCAGTCTGCTTGTTCTGTTCCCCGCTCTGGCTCTGGTGAATTCTCTCACCCTCCCGTGCTTCTGACTGTACCCAGTGCTTGTATAAATAAATAAATCTTAAAAAAAAAAAAAAAAAAAGAACTATCGCCGAATAAATAAATCTTTGTTAAACACACCTGCGCAACCAAACAATGGCATTTAAACAGCTAACACAGGGGCCTCCCCCATGGCACAGCGGGTTGAGCACTACATTGTGGGGCTGTCTGCGACCTCTGCCCCATGAGTTCGATTGCCAGCCAGGGAGAAACCCACATGGCATAGCAGACCCCTCCTGCCTCGCCCGTTGCTCCCCTCAGCAGTGTCTTCGGTGCATCTGCCTGTTCTGCTCTCTGCTCTGGTGAATTCTCTCACCCTCCCGCGCCTCTCACTGTGCCCCAGTTCTTGTATAAATAAATTTTAAAAAATCTTTAAGCAAAAATAAAATAAACAGCTAACACAAAGTGAAATATAAATCAGAATTAACTGCAAGTTTTTAAATTTCCACCTTCCTAGCTATTGAAGAGATGCAAACTTACGCAAACTTTTACACTTCTTTAGACTTCTTAAATCATCAGGTTTTTTTTGTGTTTTTTTTTTTATAAAACAACTCTGGTAAACTCCAACCCTAAAGTTGTGGTGAAACCGAGTATGCATTCATTCTCTGCTGGTAAATGTTACCATCCGTTTCAGAAAGCAACAGGGCAAAAGCCTCCTCCCTAAAATATTTAAGACTTGTTGAGTAATTTCATCCTAGGAAAGAAACAGTTCAACCAGAAAAAGAAAACTATGCAGCCAGTAATATTTCCCAAAAGAATATTTATAAATTCTGGAAAAACCCTAAGAATTACAACAACAGGCAATGCTTAAGTAAACTGTGTGGTGCAGATATTTGATGGAATACTACACACCTGTTAAAAATGATTTTATCCTGATGCTGTTCGAAGCTGTCTCTCTCCCTGCCAGGGCCTTTGAAAGCTACTCCTTAGCATAGAACCCTTGCAGAGGTGCGGTGGGGATAGGGGCTCTCATCACCTGAAAATGTATATTAATTACAGATGGGAAGATTATTTTGTCATATTCTGGAACAATGATGCGTGATCTATTTAATGGCAATAATAATACTTGCCTTCAAGTGCTTCCTTTGTGCCTGCTGTTTGCAGGTGCTGGTTCCTGGACTACTTGGGGGGACTCTGTGAAAACTCTTATCTTGTGCCCATTCAGGTGAAGAACTGAGGCACAGAGCAGCAGGTGCTGCAGTCCAGGGCTCCCCAAACTCAACAGCCCTCAAGGCCCTTCCCAGTCTGGCTCAGACCTGCTTCTCTGGCTTCCCTCTCAGCTTCCCTCACCCCCACTACCCGGGCTCCAGAAAGGCTAGACTTCCCCAGGAATGTGTAAAGACCCTCCTCCTCTTTATAACGCTCATCACCTGCTCCAACACCAAACCCTTATAACCTACCCCAACACCACCTCACTCTCCTAGCACTGCCCACCCCTCCCCCATCCCTTTCCCAGCCAGAGATGTAGTTTCTGGTGTTTGTACCTCAATTCTAGAACTAATCTCATTGTGTCATGACCAGAATGACTGGCTTCTGTATCCACTTGCTCCAGGTAACAGTGCACTCTCCCAGAAATGGAGGAGCCCCCTCCAGCCCCTACAGGTGCCTGGCACATGGCCAGGAGCCCAGGACAGTGGGTCAGGGAGGGGTCACTCCTGCAGGCAGGGAACAGCTAGAACCCAAGGCAGCTCAGCCTCTACAGTCAAAATTGCAACAACCTGGGAAAATAGCTGGGGGGCCTCTAAAGAGCAGGCTCTGGATGCCAAAGTTGCACCTTCTGCAGGTTTCAGATAGTTCGTGAACACCCTCAGGCATGTGAAAGTGCTTTGAAGTTGGGGAGGGGAAGTCCCTGGGCTCCTGTGAGGCACAGCAGCAGGGCCCTGTTGTGGGACTGCAGGGGATCAAAAGCCAGACCCAGCTGTGGAAGCCAAGCCCCCAGGCTGGCGGGAGGCAGGAAAGTGAGTAGTATGCCTGCACCACTTTGTCTGGGAGGATGGGGGCATAGGGCGCTGCAGCAGGAAGCCCTCCAAAGAGAACCTGGAATCTGTGTCACCAAAGGGATGCTGAGCACAGTGTGAGCCTCCAACTTGGTTCAGGAAAACCAGGGACTTCCCCAGCAGCTGGGAAGCCCAGCACCAAAATGGCCCCCAAAATACCCTCAGCAGAAAAAGGCAGCACTGAGCAGGTAGGAGGCTGAAAGCTGGAGCGGGGAGGGCTGCCTGGACCTGTCTACTCCAGTGGCCCCAGCTACTTGTCCGAGTCCCTTTCCTGGGATCCGTGATGAAGCAGGACTCCCCACCACCACCATCACGGGCTCCTCTGGAGAGACCCAAGTTTCAGGCTGCCCCCAATAAACTGCCAGGGCTCGCCCTCTTGAGGCCCACGACACTCCCTGGGTCCTGGTGACTTAGCTCTGGCCCCTCAAGGGTGGTGAAAAGTGGCCCCTTCAGACCAGGAGCAGGACACCCAGCAACGTACATCCACCGGTGGGATACCAGGTCCTTGACCAGACATTTAATCCTGGTAACGAGATCTCAAGCCAGCGTCGCTATCCCCACTTCACAGATGAGCAAACAGGCTGGCCTGAGGTCACACAACTTGAGAATAGCAGAGGCTGGGATTGGGGTCCAATCCTGTTTGATTTTCAGGCTCCAGCTGCCTTCCGTCCCCAGGCCTCTCCACCCAGCCTTCCCTGGAGCAAGTGCACTGGTGTAGGAACCTCCCAGCATGTGACTGCGGACAAGTCATTTCTGTTCTCTGATGCACCAGCTACCATTGGCGGCGCACCTCAAGGTGAAGCCACTTAGGACAATGGGAAATGTTACATCTCTTCATGCCTGTGGGTCAGCAATTTAGGAGTAACTTGTCAGGGTCGAGGCCAGGGTCCTGAGGAGGAGGCCACCATCTGAAGGATTCACTGGGGCTGAGTTCCCACTTCCAGAATGAACCCCTCGCATGGCGAAGCACAAAGGCGACCTGAGCATCCTGTCCACGCGGCTGCGGCCTCCTCCAGCCACGCCAACCCAGAGAGCAAGATGGAAGTGCTGTCTTTTATGAACTACCCGCAGAAACCATACTTAGTCATTTCTTTGGTATCTTATTGGTTACACTGGCTGACTCTCCCCAGCGTGAGGGACTGCACAGGAGTGGGGGATCCCTGGGGCTGGTTCCCTTCACTGCCACATGTGGACTGCCACACTCCCAGGCAGCCTTCTGAGGGTGGCAGTGAGCCTGCAGAACTAGAGAAAGCTCTCAGGGAGAAATGTAGAGGGCTTCAGGCCCACTGTCCCACTCCCACTGGGTCCCCAGGGCCCCGTGGTGGCCCCAGCCTCTCCTGTGGGCCCACAGCAGAAATGCCCATGACTGGTGTCGTCCTTCCCAGGGACGGGCTTATCCTGGCATTCACCATTCCAACCAAGGGTGACTCATGCAGAGGTTTGAGGCACGTCATCAGGCCCACAGGTGAGAAACTTGGGGCCCCGAGGTCTTTCCCGGCCCCTCCAATGCCAGGTGGGTGGCCATCTCCTGGCTCAGCACAGGCCAGTGTCGGCCACGTAGCTCTGGGAGATGCAATCCCTGGTCTCTGGCACCCAGGTTCAGGCTCAATCTTGACTCAGGCTCGATAGTTGGCAGCTGTCGATGGAGGAAGACTGGACAGACAGCCTGGAGCCTTGGTTCAAGGCCAGAGTTGCAGCTAATGGGGAGTTACACCCCTTTCTGGCATCAGCACATTTATCTGTAAAATGAGGGGCTGGGGTACGTTGATCTGCTGACGTCTCCTTTCTTAGAGACTCCAGGGAGAGTTGGGGGATAAGAGGCCTGGTCCCTTCTGGGGCCAAGGGCCCCAGCAGGCCACATGCAGGTCTGTTCTGAACTAACAGAGCCACTGCCCCTGCCCCTTGCCAGCTGTGTGGGTCTTGGCAAGTCACTCACCCCTCTGAGCCACAGTGTTTTCATTCATAAGGCGGGGAGACAGTCCATTGAGACTAAACAAGTTAATGTCCCTGCTCTCCCGCTCTGAGCCCCAGAAGGGGCACCTGTCCCCCAAGCCCGTTCCTCGGTGACAGCCCAACCTCCAGTCTCGCAGCTATTAACCCTCCTGGGCTCCCGGGGTCTGTGTCAGGGAGGAGTTCCCACTGTGCTTTCCAGTTTCCAAAATTTCTCTCCATTTTCCAAGACACAAGGGAGAAGCTGAGGCCAAAGCGGGGAAGAGACGAGCCCCAGAAGCACAGCGTGGCAGGGCAGACACCATGGGCCTCGATACCCTAATTTGGAGACCCCATGTCCCCAGAACCTTCCTGCTCATCGGGGCCGTTGCAAATGGGGGTGAGTCATTTAGACTTGCAGGAAACCAAACTTAGTCCAATATTAATCACAGAACCAGAGACATCGGTGAGGGAGGAAACAGAAGCAACCGATAGTGGCCGCAGCTGAAGGGGAGCCAGGCGAGGAGGGTGTGTCCCCACGTGCTCGTCCATGCAGGGAGGTCCCCGACCCTGGGCCCGGGTGACCCTCTGGGAGGGAGAGGACACTCCTCATGGGGTCCTTCCTATCCAGACAAGCTACCACCTTGCAGGAAGGGCCTATTCTCTAGGGGGAAAGTCAAGGCCAGGGGCTGCTGTGTCTGTCCATTTGTCCAAAAGGAAAGTGCTCTACAGGGATTGGCTTTGTGTGTCCGCCATCACCCTCCTTCCACAGGCTGGGGCTCAGGCAATCAGGGCATGGTGTGGGGGGTGGGGAGTCTCCCTAAGACAGGCCTCAGAGTATTTGAAGAGACCAAAGGCACCCTGTCCTCAAGCCACGACTTACAGTTCAGAACATTCAAGAGACCAGCACACTCACGTCCTGAGGCTGAGAACACAGAGATGGGACTGATCAAGACTCTGTCCACCTCCTGCCCCTCAGCCTGAAATTCCACCATTACTCACTCCTTGGTCAAGATAGCAAAGATCCCAGTTAAAATGTAAATCATTTCTGGGGGAAACCACTTACTAAGTCACTGGTGAGTGTCTCCACCCCACATGAGCTGGTTTCTCAGAAGAGCCTCTGGGAGAACAGGGCCAGGGGCTCAGATGGCCGTGTGTCCGGGTTCCATGGCCGCCTCGTCACCAGCTGAGAAGGTGTCGAGGAAGAGCTGAGTTTCTCATCTGGTCCAAAAAGGCCCCCAGGGGGGCTCCTGCCACTCCTGACCTCATCCTTTGTCGTGTTCCCACTGGCCTCCTTTCTGCTCCTTTCCAAGCCTGCTCCTGCTGCAGAGCCTCTGCATTTGCCACCCTCCTGCCAGGAATCCTATCCCATCCCCCCTGGCTCTTTGAAATGCTGATCCTCCAAGGAAGCTCTCGGCAGTGATGGGTCTGTCCATCCCCTCGGTTGTGCCGATAGATGTGTTCACACGTCCAAACTTAACCAAATTATCCACTTTAAATAGTACAATTTATGTCAATGACACGTCAACAAAGGGGTGAAAAAATAAATTCAGAAAATGCCGCCCCTGTTTGTCCTTCAGATCTTGACCAGGCTGAGCCCTCCTCCAAGCAGCCTTCCCCTGAGCCCCCGCACTGATGATGTCACCCTGTCACTCTGCTTAGCCCCTTCCAGGGACACGTCACGTCACGTCTCAGTCTCAAGGCATCACAACTTCATTTTCCCCCGAGGATGGGAGCCGCGGGGCAGGGGCTGTTTGTCTTGTCCTGATGTGAATCTGCTGTACTTTGGGGTAACTGGGTGATCAAGGCCTGGAGCTGTGGAACATGTGGGGACATCAGCTCCCTCCAGGACCCAACGTGGAGGCTGAGGGGGCAGCTGCCGCTCTGAAAGCGAAACCCGGAACAAGCCGCTGCCTCCCCTACTCACCCGCGGCCTTGCCGTCCACTCGCGAGAGGTGGGCCGCACCCCCCATCCCAGGGACCCTGCACCCAGCATTCAGAAAATCCCGCTGGGGTTTCCCTCAGTCCGGTCCCACCACGGGTCAGCCCCATCCCAGCACCTTCTCTCCCCCCAGTAGGAGCCAGGAGGCCCAAGGGGCCTGGGCTTGGCAGGCATGAGATCCCAGCCACCCAAGGAAAGTGAGGCAAGTCTCCCACTCAGGAATCAAGAGGTTTGTGGGGTCCCTGCTGGGGACCAGGACCTGGCGGTTGTCCCCAACTCCAGCTTCTGGTTTGCATAAGAAGGTAGCCCAAAGTGTGGACGCGGAGGGCGACCTGGCCAGTGTGCGCTCCCTCCCCCCACAGCCCCTCCCCCACCAAACTGACCCCCAAGGCCAGAATCCAGGGGGAAGTTGGGCAGGGGCAGCCCACAGACCCCACCACAGGAGGTGGCAGCGCTTGGCCTGATGCAGAGGCTGGTGCATTGGGGTGGGGGGGGAGTAGGCTGCCAGGGTCAGCACACCCACCCCCACCACCCCGTGCCCTCAACAGCTCATCCTCCCATTACCTGGAAACAGTCCATTGTCAGGCCAAAGACACGCTGGGAGGAGACGCTGAGGCAAGGACACAGGAGCACGTGTGTCTGCCCGGGGCCCGCCTCCAGGGGTCTGTGAGTTCTGGGGCCAACACCTGCATCCCTAGCGCCCACTCTCCCTAAGGAAGCAGCTTGTCCTGCAGCCCTTGAGGCCTCCAGCTCAGCCCCGTCTGGCACCCACCCTCGTGCTTGTAGCCGGTGGAGCCCCTGCCGCCTTGACTCCAGGGACCCCGCCCGAGGGACAGAGCCGGGCCCTCCAGTTCTGCAGGAGCCTTTGAACTGAGTCAAGCAAAGAAACGGCACCTCCGGAAACAGGTGCTCCCAGTCTTCCCAGCCCCCAAGGCTCTTCCTTGCTGAGCTCTGGGGCCAGAACTTGGTCATCCAGGCCTTTGTAGCCTGTGGTGGAGAGCTGGGTGCGCACCAGACATGGCCTGTCGGGCCCATCTCCTGTGGGACCTAGCATCTCCCACCCCTGCAGGAGCAAGAATGCCAGCAACACTCTGCCACTGGTCAGAGGGGTGAGTGGCAGGGACGGTGGTTCCCTCATTCACTCAACAAACACTTACTCCAGGCATGTGGGCCCAGGCGGGGCGAGGTGCTACCGGTGCAGCAGTGAACACAGTAACCTAAACTCCCTGACTTTGAAGTTTCCATTCGCGTGACGGGAAGACAGACAACAAATAGAGCGAGTGAGTCGAGTACGAGGCCCCTGAGAAGAGGAGAAGCACCTGAGAAACACCTGAGAGAAAACGCAGGATGAGAAGCAAGGCCGGTGGGAGGGAGGGGTACATGCAAATGAAGGGGGAGGCAAGGGCCTCACAAAGAAAGTGATTTTTCTGACAAGACCTGGAGATCAGAGAGAAGGGGAGGGAGCCAGGCCATAGGAGTGGGGGTGTGTTGGGGTGAGGAGGGACACAGGACAGTCAGGCAAAGGCCCTGAGGTGCAAGAGAGTAGCTCCACTGAGGGAAGAGCAGAGGAAGCTGGGAGCTGAGCCTGCGCCGAGCCTGTGGTCACTGAGGACGCTGGCTTCCCCCCACCCCACCCCAAATGAGATGGGGGGCCCTCAGGAGCGTAGAGCAGAGAAGAGCCACCAACTGATTCAGGGTTTCCCAGATCACTCTGGCTGCTGCCCTGAAAATAAATGAGGTGGGGGTGGAAGCAGGGAGACAGAGAGAGGCCCATCCCCACACTCCAGGGAGAAGGGTGACAGCGGGAGCAGGAGGAACACTGCAGAGATGAGAGGGGCAGACTGCGGGTGGCCTCTGAAGTAGAATGACTCTTGTTGACAGATGGCAAGGGCAGCCTGGGAGAACAGAAGGAGGGCGTTATCTCAGCTGGCTGGAAGGACGGGGTGATTAGTGCCTTCCCCCACTGGAGACTGGGGGACTGTGAGCACATGGCAAGGGTTCCCTAACCAGGATGGGAGTGGTGATCAGAGAGGGCTTCCTGAAGGAGGTGGCATTTAAGCTGAGGCGCAAAGAATGAGCAGACTAGGGAGAAAGGGCAAGAACTGGCAGGGAGCAGGGCTGCTGGGAAGACCTCGAGGAGGGCAGTTGGGGGGAACTTCCAGCAGCCCCAAGGGACCAGAGTGATGCTCAGGGTGAGGAGGGAAAGCTCAGAGGTCAAAGGTGGGCAGGGCTAGTGAGGGTGCTTACTCAGCACCCACAAGGAAGGGGGCTTGGCCCTGTAGCAGCCCAATCAGACCGAGAAATGGAGATGGGTAATAAATAGCCACGGATGAGTCATCTCAAACCCCAATTTTGAGCCTGCCTTGCACCTCACACCCTACCCCCTGCTCTCCCCAGTCTTTATCCTTCGCAGGAGGGGCCCTTGATTTCAGAATGACCAGGTCAGCCCCCAGGGGCCCCCTGCTAGGAGCTCACCCCTGAAAAGCCCCAGGTGCAGCAGCTGGGTCCCCTCAGACTCAGATGAAAATGAGCAAGACCTAGAAAACACTTTCGAGGCCACCATGCTTCCAATTAAAAAAGAGAAAAAGAGAGCCTCGTGCTTACAAACCATAATCACAAATACCCAGAGGGGTTGTTTTTTAAGAAGGTAAAAAAAAAAAGCAGACACAGTGCGGTCCAGCCCACCCGGCCCCTGCTGCAACTGAGCACTTTGGAGCAAGCAGGCCGGGGGGGCCCCCACAGACAACTCGGCTCCCCCCTTCACCCCCACCCTGGCCTCAAGTCTCCCCTCTGCGGCTGGGCGAAGATGAAAGATGAGCCATCTGAGCACAGCGCTGGGCACGCAGAGAGCCTTCGAGGACTCACCGTCCCCCTATACAGCAGTGGTGTCTGCTCTGTGGCGGCCCCGTCAGGACCCCGCCATGTGCACAGATGAGGCAGCTACATCCCTGCTGGCCCCAGGACCTCTCAACCAGGAGCACTTGGATTCTCAGGAACCCCCAAGAAGCAAGCTCCCCGAGGGCAGGGAATTTGGGCTCATTCTTCAACGCCCTCTCCCCCAGGGGGTGGCACAGCAAATAGTGATTGAATCAAGGAAGATCTCCATCCTGGTTATTAATCAGGCTCGCCACACTGCCACACTGATGTGGGCTACAGCCCAGAGGAGTTGAAAGGGTTTGCTCCTGGGGTACAGCAGCCAGCCAGAGCCGAGTGTCTTCAAGTCCCAAGTATCACCCGTCTCGTCTTCAAGTCCCGTAGGGTGACAGGGCATCGGGGGACTCTGAGCCAGTGAGTGTCACAGTCTGGGGATCCCCAGTCCCATCAGGCACATCCGCTCAGCCTGACTCCTGAAGACGTTACCTTTATCACCCTGATATGGAAGCAAATCGTGGGGGGTAAGGGGACCCTACTATTGCGGAAGGTAGATATGTCTGCTCTCTGATTCACAGGGAGTCGCCATCTCTCACACCCAAGGCTGCTTCCTGTGCACGCATCCTTGAAAAGATGGTGCAGGACAAAGACTGCCTGGAGGGCATGGACACACCAGGGGGAGCAGGACCCCGCAATAAACCTGCCTGCCCTTTACTGAGTGGTTACGATGTGTGTGCCAGGAACTGCAGCAATAGCCGGTTTTCATTTGCTATCATTTCTGTGACAAAATCCCCCAGGCTGGGGATTAAAACAACAGAAACTTATTTCTTGCAGCTCTGGAGGCAGGAAATCCAAGACCAGAGTGCCGGCAGGCTTGGTTCCTCACAAGGCCTCCCCTGGGCTTGCAGACCTGTCTCCTCACTGTGTCTCACACACCCCTGGTGAGTGAGCTCGCTGGACACGGGTCTTCTTGGAATAGGGCCCGGGCAACACGACCTCATGTAACTTTATTACCTAAAAAAAAAAAAAAAAAAAGTCCCGTCTCCAAATACACACGTGGGGGGCTCGAGCTTCACAGGCGGATTTGGGGAGGGACACGGTTCAGTCTGGAATCCTCCTCATCCACACGTGCTCCCTGGCTGCCCCGTGCCCCACAGATGGACATTGCAGCAGCCAACTGATAGGTGTGCAATTGAGTGAGGTGTGTCAGTTGTTTGACATGACATCAGAACCAAGAATCACACAATTTCCTGTGTGTTTCAATAATTCCAGTGAATAACACACTCCACGGCCCCGCCCCCAACTCCCGGAAACTGGGGAAGAAGAGGCGAGCCCTGGGGCCTGGGGTCTGAAGAGTCTCTCACAGTCACTTTCCCCCAGGGCCACTCTATGACTTTCCGTAGTTAATAACCTGGCGATCTCAAACCCGGGGTCCCCACGCCCTCCCGGGTGCAGGAGCACTGCTCAGCAAGCCATGGCAAAGCTGGCTTTGAAAAGTCTGAAAAAGGGGGTGCGATGTCAGCTGGGAGTGCCCAGGGCAGGGGGTGGGGCAGCACATCTGGGGCACAGGTGTCAGCATCTCCCCAAAGCCCTGTGAACAGCTGGTGACCCCAAGTCCCCCGAAGGGCCCTCAGCTCTAATGTCAGAATGGTCTCTGCCCAAACCCTTCTGGAATCCCTCACAGAAACTCCCAGCTGAGGTGGAATGACACACTCATGCTCTCGGGTCCGTGCACAGCCCCG